ATGTTCAAATGGTCCTTGGAGATCTCTGAATTCGATATCCAATACAAAAGCAGGAAAGCCCTTAAGGCTCAGGCCTTGGCCGACTTTGTAGCTAAAATGATCTTGTCCGCAAACCCTGACAGATCACGTTATTGGACGATCTTCGTTGACGGCGCCTCTAGTTCGACTGAAAATGGTGCAGGAATCATACTGGAAAACAAGGAAGGAACCCTAATCTAAGTCTCCCTCTCCCTATATTTTCCAACCTCCAACAATCAGGCCAAATACGAGGCACTCCTTGCGGATTTATGACTGGTCGAAGATCTGAGAGCCAAGGAAGTGAAAATATTCACCGACTCTTAGTTAGTTGCCTCTCAAGTCCTAGGCGAATACCAGGTCAAAAACGACCAACTTGCCGAATTTTGGGCCCTGGTCCAGGAGACGAAAAAGAATTTTATATTTGTGGACATCCAACACGTTCCCCGCGAGCATAATGCCCGCGTAGATATCTTATCCAAGTTGGCGGGCACAAAGAGAAAGGGAGGAAATAAATCTGTGGTACAGGAAATTCTCCCTCGACCAAGCACCCAAAGGCCGTCTTCCACCCTAGAAGTATTCTCCATCGGAGACAGCGATTGTTGGATGACCCCCATACATGACTACCTCGTTGAGGGAAAACTCCCCGACAACCCAAAAGAAGCGGCCATTGTCAGGCGGAGAGCTTGCTCGTACGTCTTAGTCGAAGGAAAACTTTACAGAAGAGGATTTTCCATCCCACTTCTCAAGTGTGTCGACCAAAACAGAGCGGAGCGCGTGCTTCTCGAAATCTATAAAGGCGTCAGCGGTAAACATCTGGGCGGGAGATCCCTCACGAGAAAAGCCTTGCGGGCGGGATACTACTGGCCTACCATGCAACATGATGCAAAAGAGCACGTAAAGAGATGCGATAAATGCCAACGGCATGGACCATGCATCTAGCTCCTCCTAACGAGGTTAAATCCCTCTCCTCTCCTTGGCCCTTTGCTTGGTGGGGCCTAGATCTCCTTGGCCCGCCGTGGTCGGAACCAATCAAAACAAATACCTAATCGTAGCGGTCGATTACTTTACCAAATGAATAGAAGCAGAAGCTTTGGCCAAAATCACTGCCTAAAACGTCCTCCGCTTCTACAAAAGGAATATCCTCGCTCGCTTTGGCATCCCACGAGTGATAATCACCGACAACGAGACCCAATTCACATACCACACCTTTTAAGAATTTGTCGACAAACTGGGCACCACCCAACACTTTGCCTCCGTTGAGCATCCCCAGACGAACGGCCAAGCTGAGTCTGCGAACATAGTGATACTCAGAGGCCTCAAGCAAAGGTTGGACGAAACCGAGAAGCGATGGGTCGAGGAGCTACACAGTGTGCTATGGGGATACCGAACAACTTCCCATTCATCCACCGAGGAGACTTCATTTCGACTAGCTTACAGGACGAATGTCGTCATCCCCGTTGAGATCGAGGAACCTTCCAGGAAAATCGAGGCACCTCCTGAAAAGAAGGTGAACGACGTCTCCCTCCGCGAAGAGCTGGATCTTGTGGAAGAAATCAAAACATGAGAGGCCCTACGAGAGGTCTCACTCAAACAAAAAAAAAGCCATGCGCTATGATGCCAAAGTCATACGATGAGAGTTCGAGGTCAGCAGTCTTGTCTTAAAGAGAAACCGCAAAGAATCTCAGAAGGCAAGCTCGCAGCGAACTGGGAAGGCCCTTATCGCGTCTACGCGAAAATGGGGACTGGAGCGTACTACTTGGAAAACTTACAAGAGGAACAGCTCGTTCGATCATGGAATGCTGAAAAGCTAAAACATTACAGTTAAAAACACTGATCATTCGGCGAGTTTGCTTGACGAGACAACAAACGACAATCACATACTGCTATTAGGAATATATATACCCAAATATATAATGGGATCATCGCTTCCGAGGAGCTCCTTGACGTTTATGAGGCCCGACTTGTACACGGGTTTTCCGTTCTTATCCAGCATTGGCCTACCTCTCCGACCAACTCGCTGGACCCGAGGAATTTGAGCCACGAACATGGTCAGAGAAGTAAAACTCTTCAGATCCTCGTCACCCGAGCTCCCCCTCTCTCCAAACATAGGAGCCCAATTCCCTGTCAAAATGCTTCCTCGTCCATTGGAACGGGAATTTATAAATCAGCTTCGCAGTAGGCTCCCCCAACTCATTTAGACGGGGAGTTCCATCCTCGTTGAACGATGATGCAGTCCTAAAAACGTTCAACATCACCTTTGTCGAGGAGGGCTGCACCAAGATGTACTTGTCTTTAAAGTGGCGGACAAACTCCAAATAGGCCTTGAATAACTTCCCATTGCCTTGCTTGAGGGAGACCCATCCCTACTTTCCATTGACCTTACTCCTTTGGGTGTGGAAGCAGTAGAAAAATAATGGAATCGTGGCCCCTATCTTCAGATGGTCACAAACTATCTTGAATGCTCACGCGAATGCGATACCGTTCGGATGCAATTGAGAAGGAGCCACACGCAAATGCCTGAAAACGGCCACCTCGAAGTCAGAGAAGGGGAGGCAAAGACCCATCTCTCGAAAGACAATGTCATACATCGGGATCTGTCTCTTATCATTCTTCGAGCATATCCTGCTCTTCTTCCCAAGAATATATAACGACTATTCCTCCGGGGGCTCCTCCTCATGAGTATATACGTCCGTAAAGACATCCTTCCCGTGCTCGTAAAAATACGACCGCCACTCCCAGGGATCATTCGCGACCCAATCCCAATGACCCTCTTTATCTCCAGGAGGAAATAAGCTGCCATGGTCCACGGAGGTTGCCCCCACTTCAGGCTCCCTCAATTGTTGTCCCATCTGGTTCTGCACATCCCCGGAGATTTCTAAGATGCTTGACGAGCTACTTGTCTCATCCGAGGAACTCTCGGAAGACTGTGTAGATTCGCTCAAAATAACGACATGAGCAGTATCAACCATGGCACTTGAAAAGCAGAAGGAAAAGATGAGCTTGTCATCAATTCCAGAACCACCCTTCCACCGTTAAACAAGTGAAAGGACGCTAGGAAACGAGGATCACCTCCCCGACCATAACCCTCACTGAGGCAAACTAACGAGCATGAATTACAGAAAAAGGCCTAAAACCTCATTGAGGCACACTAACGGGCATGAATTGCAGAAAAATCCCTAAGCCCTAACGGAACCCTAAATCTTAACCGCATGCGTCTCTAGAAGGGAAAAGGCAAAATTACTAAAGCAAACAACAATGGAGGATAAAAAACTTACCAGTAATAGAAGAAAAGATGAAAGTTAGCAGCCGCGAGCAGAGAAAATCAATGAACTCTGGTGGTCGACTGTGGAGCTAATATGAGCAGTTGAGAGAGAATGTAAAAAATGCTAAACGCTCTGTTCCTCTCGTATTTATAGCTGAGATAATTCGCGCGTGCAAGACACGCGCCTGGGAACCCTAGGTTTGTCATCATTACACCCTAGCCCTAAGCCATCATTGGGCCGCTTCGCCAGTACACTTCCCAAAATACGCTACTTCTCCAAATTCAAAGGTCCTAACAACCAACTCCTCGTCTCCCCGCAAGCAAGGCGTAATGAGCAACACTCATTTCCCTGTAAGACATGCCCCGTCCCGCGAATAGATGTAAAAGTCATCACTTTTGCACCCAGAAGCAACGACTTAGGGGCTACTGTTCTGGACTGGCCCGACAACTAGAATGGGCCCAATCTAAGACATTTCCTTTGGTACGGCCCGCACAACCATGACCCGGATTGGCCGTTACTTGTCGGACAATATCAGCTGTTTGCCCTCCCGAACTAGCACTGACCCAGGATGATCGACGAGCATCCTCTCAGCCCGTCTGAAATTAACATCGTGCAAGCCACTAAGAATCGACCAGAAAGATGCCCGTAACTAACCCCCTCCTCGGGACCAACGGCTAGTTACGCACACATCTGCCCGGTTTGACCAAGTCTTGGCAGTTACTAGATTTTACAGACCCGCATATCCAGGCGTGAAATCAGGAACCAATGGATACGCGCCAAGGGCATTATATATACCCTCACACATGTGAGAGACAGATATCGAATATTCACCACTCACTACCTAATACTTTGCTTGTACCTTCTTGTTCCCGTACTTACTTGATCGTCGGAGTGCCTTGCAGGTATAACCCCTTTTTTTCTCCTCGACTTCATAGTCCGACTACAGATCATCTTCCGGCCACTTCACAAGTTTTGATTAACCGGTAAGATCAATATATATATATATATATATATATATATATATATATATATATATATATATATATATATATATATATATATATATATATATATATATATATATATATATATATATATATATATATAAACATTTTTAAATTAAAACGAAACCTCCAATTTAATTAGGTCAGACGTGTTGATTAGAATATAACTATTATTTTAAATTGTTTTAATTGACTTATAATACTTTAATAGTATATGTATAAAATTTCAAAGTGTTACTATTTAATTCTAAAAATAAAAATATGATGTAAATTCCATCTCACTTTTGTGTATGATAACAAATTAGGCCAAAAATTGGTTGGAAATTTGAAATGATTTATTCAGTGTGGGGACTCACGTTAATAATGGTTATTTAGTGTGGGGACTGATACTAGTGACGAAGAAGTCAAAGAAAATAGTATACACATATCCACATAATAATAGAATTATTATACTACATGTAGAGAGTTTAGAAAAAATGATTAAGATCCATGTTTCATGTACAGCGCCGACAATAACTCATCCTATTTCTAACTCAAAAATAATGAAGGGACCAGAATACTTGTTACCTACTTTCCTCACTCACAAGAACTAACTAACCTCCCTCACTTTCCTAATCAAAAACATTAATCTACTTCTTGTTTTCACAAATTAATGTTTGTTTTTCTATGTATCATGAGTATGTTTGTGATTGAATTATCATGATGAGAAGGATACATGGTGGAAGGAATGGAGGAATTGCCAGGGGCCTTGGGAACCAGTTCAAGTTTTGCTCTTCGGTTGGGACAAACCGTTTTTTCATCTGCTTCACTTTTTTACATGTGTTTGGATGTTGATTTCTATGGTTATTCTGCTTTCTGGTTAGTATATATCTATCTCCATCATTCTTCTTGATTCTGTTGTTCAATTTCATATCCTTGTGTTTTGCTTCTGGGGTTTCTCTTGTTTTTTTTTTGTAAAGTTTGTAGTTTTATCAATTTTACTTTGCCCCTTGTTTTTTTTTTTACTAGTAATTGGATGGTGGGTCCTTTGTTTTAATGAGTTATGAATATGTTTGGTAGAATTGAGGAAGTAATTTGAAAAATTGAAGTAATTGAATTAGTCACATAGGTTGGTATCTGACTTTCACATATTTTATAAGTGAGATGACTCATATACCCAATGTCTTAAGGTTTTAGGTGAATGTGTAGTGTCTCTCTCATTTGTTTGAGTGAGTCTTTGACCTAATATGGATGATTCCCCTCATGATGATCTATCTCTTATATCAGAGCTGATGGTTCGAGAAAGGGGTCTGCTCCTTGTATTGAAAATCTTTCTGACATAGTGATTGTCAAACGTCTTGTCCCGTTTAAGTGCTCGTGACGTGGTATGGTGTAAATGGCAGTACAGCGGTACAAATGAATGTGGAAAGAAGAGTTTCCGCTTGAGAGGGAGCATAGTGAATGCACCCACACTTAAGGGGGAGAGAATGTGGATGCTTCCCTTCACAACGGTCCATTACGTCGCACATTGAACTCAGCTTCAAGTGCTAGTAAATAGTAATCCACACAATGAAACATTAGCAAATTAAATACGAATATTAAACATGAATCCGACCCGTTTGAAACTCTTTATAATTTGAAAAATGGAAGTAATTGAATGAAATCACATATATTGGTGTCCGACATTGACATGTGTTGGACATCGAACACGGAAAATGCTATAATTGATCCACACTGATTCCTTTAACACGGTGATTATGATTAGAGTACAAGTTTTTTTCTTCTGCAAAATAAGTTTATTTTGCAAGTTCAGTCTAATTCTAAAAAATGAAAGAATTGATGAAAGGCTTCATCTTACAATGTCGCAAGGAGTTAATCATGTCTTGATTATCTTTTCTGTCATTCCACAGCTTTTTGGTAATGGTGATGGGTTTGGTAATTTCCTGGAGCACAACACTATTGATTGTAGATGCGTATTCGATCTTTATAAAAAAAGTACCAAAGCAACCAAGATTCATTTTTACGATCACAGTGGGCGACATGGTATGTGAAATTTACTAATAAAAAACTTAAGAACATCATTGTTTTGCAGATGCACCAAATAATGTTAAGTATTTGTTATTGTCTATATCTCAGGTTTTGTCATATCTGTTATTAGCTGCAGCATGTTCAACTGCTAGTGTGACAGATTTGTTGAAGAGTGCTGATAAATCCTATTGTCCAGAAAATTTATGCAGTAGATACCAAATATCTGCTGCTATGGCCATCTTGTCTTGGATTCTTTCATCAGCTTCTTGTCTCATTAACTTTTGGATTTTTCCTTCTCTGTGAAGTGTCTTTCTTTCTCACTTTTGATGTGTATAGGAATGATAAGAGTTCAAATGGCGAAGTCATTTGATGTTCTTATGATATTTTTTGTTTCCTTTAGAATAAAGTTATCATATTGTAGCTTACATGTAATATTTACTTTGTAATTGTAAAGAAATAATAAAAAATCCATTTATTGTTCTGAACTGCTTCCCAATAATTGATAAATGAAAAGGGTGAATGAATTATAAGGAATTTGAAGTACAACATAGAATGTCTTATCACATAAGACTCCTAATTCCTCCTTCATTTCAGCCACTTAGCTTAAATCGGTTGATTCACATTCTTCTATTTCTTCATCATTTTATATTTGAGACCCTAAATATTTAAATTGTGCAACTTATGCCATGATATAGTATCCAACTTGAATCTCTAGGTTAGAAAAACTTCACCTTTTGCTAAATTTACAAGCCATTTATTTTTAAAGCTCGTCTACAAGTTTACAACCTATCATTTAAATCTTACTTCAACTCTCCATCAAATAGAACTATATCATCTACAAAAACATACCCCTCCACGCTAGCTTTTGTATGTTGATGTTGTATTCCTTTGTATAGTTTCCTTATGTGGTTTTAGCTAACAAAATTAGTTATGGTTGTCACTTGCTCGTAACATATGATTTTTTTAATAATTTTGTGAAAATACACTATTTAAGTATCAAATTTTCCTTAGAGGTCAATCCGTGAAGTTCTTCCAAAATAATTATTCAACATTTTTTATGATCTTATCGAAATCAGAAGGATCTTCAGTGGCCTGCAACACTTGGACTTATGCGACTGTTGAAGTGAATGTAGGAGGAGTTGTACCTGCAAGGCACTCCGATGTCAAAGTAAGGTTCAAAGCAAAGAGTGCAAGTACAAAGTGTAAGTGAGTAGAATTGAATACCAGACCCTCTAGTGAAAGAGGGTATTTATATTCTCTATCGCTGGCCAAGATTCTTATTTTAGGCTAGATGCCCTGGTCCATAATGGAGACTGTCAAGATCTTACGTGGGTAGAGGAAACTAGTTCGTGGTCTCTATCCTGATTCAACTGTCTCGTGATTTTTGGAGGTAAAAAACCTGTTATTTACGAGGGAATGATGATTTTGAGATATTTGGAGAGTCGTTGGCCACTTGTCCTCAACAGACACATGGGAAAGACATCCTCAATGATAATGGAGAAGAGACGTTCCCTAACGGTTATGGCCATCTAGGCCACTTTGTTGGGCCTTCCTCGCAGCAGTGTTGGGATGGCCCTGCCCGACAGGAAACCAAGTATAGGTTTAGTCCGCAACAGGTTTGTTGGGCCTTCTTTAATGTAGAGTTGGGTTGAGCCTTTTCCGACGATAGTTCAAGCGCAGGTTCAATCTAGAACATTTTATATAAAATTTTGTATATTTACATAAAAACTATCTTTAGTTAATTTTGACAATTTTATTTTTTAATTAAAGAATTTATTATCTATTAACTATTCCATTATCTATTAAATATAATAAAAGAAAATTAGTTCTTTGGTAAACTTTACACATGTCAACTTCTTAGCCCTATTATTATAATAAGAAATAATTATATACTTTTATTTATGTATTGACCTAATTTCTATATTGACCTAATGATAACTCAAAATTATATCATATATTTGGCTCGACTTGCATGCATTTTAGTACTGTTTTCATTTATTTATGTTTTGTTATGTCGGTATTATTGTCTTATTTCAGGTATATCAAGCAAGTTGGAGATTTGAGTAAAAAGAATAAAATAAATAAATAAATTCAAGAAAGGTGGTAAAAGAGCAAAGAGAAGGCAAAGCATTAGTAAAAAAAATTATAAAGCTCAGCCCATCAAACAAAGGAGTGGCACCCACCACTTCACATGTGGCCCCTGCCACACATGAAGGGTGGCGCCTGCCACCTAATAGAGTGGCCCCTCCCACGCCCAAGCATGGCGCCCACCACCATCCATATGTGGCCCTTGCCACGTCCAATTTGCAAGAAGTGACGTCTGCCACTTCCCTATGTGGCCCCCACCACTAACCAGTTTCTCTCCTATATTCTCACTGAGTCTGTTTTTCTCGTTCAACGTAACCGTGTCCAAAATACCATATTTTCAATAAGGAAGTGCAATATAAAAGGGACGAGACATTTATAGTGAGAGGGTCCGCCATTTTCTGTTACAAGCAGAGTAATGTTCTTAGAATTTTAAGCAGAGAATTTACATGTAAAAGTGATATCTCTTCCGATATGGAAGAACTATCACAACTCTAGTTTTAGGAGTTTTCTGTTTTTAATTCTATACCAGATTCTTCAAGTGTGGAGACATATTTTCAATTGGTTTCAAGTTATTGTACGCAAATATAATTTCAGCAGTAATTCCAGTTTTTATTTTATTTCCAGGTTCATTCTAATTGTTTATGATTTCATCTTAGTTTAAGTTAATTTATGTTTTAAATCATATTTTTCCTTATGTTTAATTATCGTATTAGCATGTTTGTATTCAAAATTATCTCTTGCTAAGTTGCTTTGAGTCCGGTATGTGAGGATCATTTTTTCCGACGGGACTCGGTATCAAAGTTGGCTTAATTAATTAATTTGACATTTCTATTTTGGTCTTTTTTTAAAACTCAATTTAAATAGCTTTGTCACTAGAGTGAGAGTTTACTTAACACAATTTTGTCACGAGAGTGGGAAATTAACTAAGGTTCGAGCCGGCACTACGAGAGCGTGAGGATCGAACCGGATAATAGAAACTAGTCATTAATCCTAAACACATCGAGAGCGCTTTAGGATTAATTAGAGATTGTTCAGTTTTCAAAACACGTTCCTTGATTCAAGTGGGCGAGCGAGAGCAAAATCCTACGGTTAAGGAGCGTGACTTTATTCAAAACCACGAGAGAGTGTGAGGTATTGTCTTTAAACTAACATTTTCTACGAAATACATATGTGATACGGTGGGAGAACTGACTTGAAGGTTTTTAATTTGATCGCAAATGTTGAGGTTAGCAAGAGTCGCCACCGAATTTTCTTTTATCCAAAAGGAAAGGTGAAAAAGCACAGGAAAGACCTTTGAGATTATTTCTTGAGTTCGGGGGGGTAGATTATGAAAAGGTAAGGTATTATCACCCTTTTCATCCATGGTTTTCCATGGGCTCTTAGTTACTTGCTAGGTCAACTTGCTTTTTGTTTGAAATTGTGCTTGTGTGGTTTTTGAAAGTATTTTGCAAAGAGGCCATTGTTTAGGCAAACTTTGTAATGATTCTCGTTCGTAAGAATGTATACAAAGTGTTTGATCTTTTGAAAATATTTTCAAGTTTGAAAGATATTTTTTGAAAGTGTAGGTGTTTGTTTTGAAAATAGCAAGGATATTTTGTTTTGAAATTGAGAAATTAATTAGGAGCATTCTACCTACTCAAAAAGTCTTTCTTATTCATTTTCTTTTCCTTTGACATTGTTATCTTACCATCGATTTGGCAAGTAACCCTATCTTTAGATGTAAACGGGACGGATGTGGGTCATCGTATAACCATGATTAGTAATGTTGCAAGGTATCTTAGTATTCTTTTTTAGGGACTAAGATCATTTGAAAGACAACTTAGGTAGCGTCATCGAGGGACTATGATCTTGTATTTTGCTTGTTTTTGCTAAGATACCTCACATGCGTAATATGGCAATTTTGTAAAGACAACCAAGTGGTTTTACTCTAGGGGTGCTTGTGTGCAAGTGTATTATTTTCATGCTTGATTTTGTCTTGAATTAGGGTTTTCTAAGCATTGGTTTTAGTCTTTCCATACAAACCCTAATTACTAGCATTTGTATATAAAAGCGATAAATTGCGGAATTTAAAGTTACTACGCTATTACAATACTTGTGGGAGGGGGTGTACAAATTGTAAATGGGGATTGCAAGAAAATAACCTAATTAATCTATTACAACCATATTGAATTGGTATAAATGTACAAGAAATTAAATGAATATAATGTACAAAATGAATAAATGTACAAAAATGTGAAATGTAAAATAAATGGATTTTTGTTTGGATTTTTTTAGGAAAAGGGAGTTTGTTTTAACCTAATTAATTAAAATAAAATAGTTAATTAAAATAATAAAAAAAAGTAAACCTAATTTTACTAGGAAAAGAAATTAAGTAAAACCCTAATCTATTAATTGATTAAAAGAAAATAAATTTGTAAGAAAAGTATTTTTGGTATTTTTGTCTTTTAAAATAATTTATAGTATTATAAAATATTTTTGGACTTTTTTATATTAAAATAATATATTTTGATTGGTGTAAAAGAAAATAAATAATAATCTAGTTTTAATTAAATTTACAAGAATAATTAGTAAAATAAACAAAGTATGGTTAAATAAAATATTTTTTTGTGAGAAAAATAAATAAACTAAGTCAAAATATAAATCTACTATTTTTATTTTTTTTTTGTGATTTTTTAGTATTAGAAAAATAATTAAGAAAATAAATAAAATGAAAATAAGAAAAAGAAAATAAAATTTGGGCCAGGGGTGTGAACAGCCTGCAAGGGGGTTAACAACAAGAAAGAAAAACATAAGGCTCAAAGGGAGGCCCAGCGCCCTGCCAAAAAGTCAGAAAATGTAAAAAGATGTGAAAAAAACAAAAGCGTACCACTGGGGCTCGAACCCAGGTCCCTTTAGTTACAGGCGCGCGCTTCTACCACTGGGTGGCTATACATCCGTTTATATAAATCAAACAATAAATACATAAGGCAAACACGTTCCTGAGGCCAATTTCATCTTCAACCTCACGCCCAGCCAGAACCTCTGTAACTTGTTCAAATCTCAACAAAAATGAAAACTGTAAACATGAAACTTGTAGCAAATTTCCTCACGGTTTCAGAAATGTAAAGCATTAAAACTATAGCTCAAAGATAAACATGAATTTTAATGGCCCTATTCTGAATCCTAAAAATCTAAAAAAATTCAATCTTAAAATTCTCTAAGCTCATGCAAAATTAATGGAAACTATGGACATGGTTAGCTTTAGGGCAATGATATATACATGTTTCATTCACAAATAAATCATTGATGATGCATGTATGAAAAGTTTCAAAGTTAGAAAACTTACCTTGCAAGAGGATATCGGGTTTGAAGTTTGAGCAGCTTTCAAGGAGTTCCAATGATTGGGTTAGCTTCCTCAAGTTCCCAGGAAGCTAATGGGATGCTTAGCTTGAGCTGAAAGTACCTGAGGAGTTATGGAGAAGTCCAAGTGCAAAGCTCTGTTTTTGAAAATGGAGGATGGTGTTAATGGTGTTACAGTTCTGTAACAGGTTGTGGGATCAAATCTAAATGATGTTTAGAAGCTTTAGGAACCAAAAGGCTTAAAAACGCACGAGGGAGTTATGAGTTTCAAGTTTTTGGTCAGTTTATGTGAAAATGGAGGTATGAGATGTGATTCTGAGCTCTTGGTGTTTTTAGGGGTCAAGCCTTTGTGTGTTTTGTGGAAAATGTTTTGTATATCTATAAGCAAAACGATTGGAGTGGTTTGGACAATCAGAAGCACAAGTTTTTAGCTAATTGCTAGGTTACTTGATTTTGAAGAAAAGTGAGAAACCAAGTTTCAATGTGAGGTACAAGCATGGGATGAGTGATTGTAAGTGTCTAACAAGTTTCTTATGGGTTATGGGACTTGTATGATCAGAAGAGAACAAGTTCAAGGCTCAAGAACAAGTTTTGTGCAAAAAGTCACTTTATCAAAATGGCAATGTGCACTTTCTTCCCAAAATGGATATAAAGCATGTCCATGCATTGAATGCTTGAAATGAGACCTCTAACAGATGTGCAAGCCATTAATTATGGAGTACCTAACAAGTTTGAGGCCTGCAAAGTAGAGGTTATGCAGCATACTTTGAATTTTGAATTTGGTTCATCACAAAATGACTTGTAATTCAAGTGATGAAACCCTAACTTCATCTCTTCGATTCTCCCTACTCAAGAATGATCTCAAGGAGTTCTTGGACATTTTGGAAAGCTTGTAATGTTATATACAACCAATATTTGAATTGCTTTTGAATATTAACCTTGGAACTATATGAAAAAGGGCCATGAAGTTGGGTCAAAATCTTGACCAAATTAGAGCAAAATTTCACTAAGTGTTTTGTTTCATGACCACATGCTCTTAAAATTATAACTTGAGATCCAAGCACTTTTGGAAGAAGTTGTGTGAAGAAAAGTTGTAGATTTCATGGAGATCTAAAACTTTGATGTTGGAAGTTCCTTTTGAATCAGCTTGCATCATGGTGAAAGTTTTGCTCAAAGTTGTGAAAAAATAAGAAATTTCCAACACTTAGAAAAATTTCTAAGTTTAGAAATTTTAACTTTTCAAAATGAAATCTTGAATTTTTGATTTCTTGATGAATAAGTTTCATATTTTGACATGTTTTGATGAATTGTGATCTTTGGCATTTGATTTTGACCAAAAAGTCAAAGTTTGACTTTGCAGTATACAGTTGACTGAAAAATTCATCTGTCAATCCATTGGACTTGCAATGTTTTGAGCCATATCATTAGGTCAAAATGATGCAATTGGACTATTAAGATCATGCCTTAAACCAATTGATCATTTTCTAGGTCAAAAATCAGAAATTGCCCTTTCTCAGTCAAAACCCTAATTTTGACCATTTTGCCCTTTTGGAGATTTGATCAAATTTCTTGAAGAATTATGGTCCAAACTTAATCAAATGATACATATGAGTTTAAAATGTTGATGTGGATAAAAAATTATGACGTTTGACTATAAATTGGCCATAGTTGACTTTTTCCCCAATACAGCTGATTTTTAGGTCAACTGCTCAATTGACTGAGCAAAAATGTGATCCAAGGCTTGAAACTTGACATGAGTAATCTTGGGGGTCCATAATGATCCATAAAAGTCATATGGGGAATTGGAAGTCCAAATATCCTTGTGTAGTCTCAAACCCTAATTTTGGTCATTAGTGCTTAAGGAGGTGTCTTGAGTTGATCAACCCTAGTGCAGTCTTGAGTCAAAGGAGATCTTGTGAGTAAATTCTTGATAAGTGAGAGGGGAAGTTTTGGGATACAACAACATATTTAGTATAATTAAAAGAAAACGAGTTACAAAGTCCCCGAGACACGCGAAATCCACATTCTGGCCTCTCTTTTATTATATATTTCTTTAATATTATTTTAGTCTTTATCTTAGTCTTAGTTTCCCCTAAGTTAATTATTTCATTAGCCTTAGCTTTACAAACCGACGGTAGATTACAGTAGGTTGACATTGGTCTTTGTGGGTTCAACAATATTTTATATCACTTCGATATTTTTGTGCACTTGCGGACGCATTAAGTTTTTTGATTGCACGTGAATGAAAGTGGATAAAATGAAACAAAAGAAATAGATCAATTTATAATAGAATGATTCAAATTAGTTTGCATATGGAGGGAGTTTTTTATCGCATTCTATGATTTCGTGTCGCTACGGTACCCTTGGGATTGATATTTAGTACCTATCCTTCTAATAAAAACCTCGCAACCACGTATGATTCGAGTCGTGTCGTATTTTTGTTTCAGACCCGTGTTTAGTGTGATTACCATATTGGTTATTTGGTTGAGGACAAGCAAAAGTTTAAATATGGGGGAGTTTGATAAAGCGAAATTACATCGTATATTTGACTTGACTAACATGGATTTTTGTTTCGGTTTTTATTTATTTATATCTTGTTATGCCGGTATTTTTGTCCCATTTAAGGTGTGTAAAGTGAAACTAGTCACAAAAGAGATTTGAGCAAAATGAAAAGAAATGAAGTAAAAAAGACTCAAAATACAACAAAGGCCCAAGATAGAAGAACCAAAAGCCAGGTGGGGCCCACCACCACAAAAGTGTGGCGCCTTCCATGCACTTAGGGGTGTGGCGCCCACCACCTAAGCATGTGGCCCCTGCCACTTCCCTTAAGTGGCGCCTGCCATCCATAATGTGGCTCTTGCCACGTCTAATTCCTTAAGTGGCGCTTACCACCTACTTTTGTGGCCCCCTTTACGATGCAACTTCTCCTCGACGTGTTCCGTTTCTTTCTCCAATTTTCTCGTTCAAACGCGACGGTTCTTAAATGCTCAGATTACTTAGATTTTCAAGGGAGGTTACACTATACATTGGAAGGGACACTGTCAGTTTGAGGATGTCAATTTTTCTACAGCAAGAGCTTGTTCTTAGATTCCTTAGGCGGTTAAAATTCACTTCAAATAGCGATAGATCTTCCATATCGGGGGACTATTGCAACCTTAGATTTAGAATTTATTTTCTGTTTTCAATTCTTGTATTGAAGTATTTCAATCATGCCAGCATAGTTTGGATTTTGTTCAAGCATTACACGCGAAGTACTTTTTCCAGAATTTTTAATCAGAGTTGATTTTGTTCCAGGTTTTATTTCACTTGCAGTTTTAGTTTTAATTATCTTTTTAATCTCAATATGATATTGTTATGTTTTCTGGAATAGTGTTCTGTTTCATGTCTATTAATCGCACTTGCATGTTAGTGTGTAGAACCATGTCCGGCTAAATAATTAGATACCGGTATGTAAAATAAGTTGAACTGATGGGATTTAGAAATCTATTGGCGTAAATATTTACAAACTATTTTTCTTCCGTAGTTTCTAATTCTAATTAAAACAGCGTTGTACGAGAGTAAAAAGCAAACAAAAGTTATAATCAATAAAGTGAGAGTTTGCGATTTTAATCAGATAGTAGAAACTAGACATTAATTTTAAACACAACGAGAGCATTTTAGGATTAATTAGATTTTGTTGGTTTTTAAAAAGTACTTTTAAATTCAAATGACACAGCGAAAGTAAAGCATTATTTTCAACTGAAAAATATTTTCACATTTAAAACTACGCTAATAATTTATCGAGTCCTCAAAGTTTGACGAGTTGCATACCCGTGTCCCGTTATTTATTATTTTTATTTGAATTCATTTCCCGTTTTCCTCAAAAACCCAATATTAATCATTAGCCTTAGATTTACATAGAAAAATTAGATAGCATTAGTTTGATTATCAGTCCCTGTGGATTCGATTTCTTTTAAAACTACGTGATTAGACTGTACACTTGCAATCAGTAAATCTAATAGACTCTTAAAGTCACGATCACCTAATTTTTCATGATTAAAATGTAGTATAAACTTTTATTATAATAAGAAATATTTCTATTAATATCAATTGTATCTATTTTATATAATTAATTAATATGGTCTATTATTTAACTTATACTCTATATTGAAAAGTCATTTATTATTTCATGTCAAGATAAAAGTTCAATTTATTATGGGTGATGTTTCACATTTTTGTCTGCTTAGGCCATGGGAAATTTCAACCGGCACGTTCCTTTCTTCTTCTGTCAGATTTCCATTAGAAGCTTCTATCGATTCACATACCAACCTTGGTTTCTCAACAATTCATTATTTCCACTTTCCAAAACATGATTCATGTATTCATCCATGTATTTGAATGCATCTAACGACTTATTTGCATTTATTCTCATCAATGGTTTATTTTTCCCAGGTAATTTTATGATTTAGATGTTTAGTTGTTTTTTATTTGTGTGAAATCCATAAGAATTCTTGGTTATAAATAGGTCAAATTTGTCTAAAATTTCAGACAGATTTGGATTTCGTCGTGAATGTTGTTATTCACGATTTTCCATCCTGCTTTTTGTGTTTGGTTTTGTTCATGGATTCCGGAGGAGTTAACTTTGTTAACGAAATAACTCCTGCAAAGGAGTCATAGAACATTGTTGTTCGAGTTATCCACTTATGGTTTGTACTAGATATGAATGCCAAACAATTTTTTTTTGCGATGGAAATGGTTCTCATGGATGATAAGGTCATTTGTTGTTTCCATTTATCGTTTTTGGTAAATTTTAATATAATGTTTTATCCAGAATTATATTGTTTGTGATTTGATAGGGTAACAAAATCCAAGCTTCAATTGGAAAAGCCTTGCTGCCTCGATTTGAAAATAAGATTAACGAGGGAGCTGCTTATAATTTCAAGTCATTTGGTGTCTCCGCTAATACTGGAGCATTTAGGACCCCAAAAAACCAATTTAAATTGAATTTTCAGAATGGCACGGTTGTCACAGATGTTGGAACTGGAATGACAACATTATCTCCTTATTCATTTGCATCTTTTCCAGATATTGTTGACAACATTGACATGGACTACTTGATTGGTATAATAGCTTATGTTTTAGTTTATTGTCTCATGCATTTTATATTTGTGCATCTAAAAGCTAATATCTTAAATATTTTCTAGATGTTATGGGTATTTTGTCTTCTCTTGGTCGTGAAAGGGTGTATGAAAGGAATCGTGTAACTACTAAATTTAAAACTATTGAGTTGGAATCCAATGGGTAATATATTTTATGTGAGATTACCTTATACTTTTATGTAATATTGTAATCATTTATCTAATTTAATTTTATAACTCATGTAGAATGAAGCTCGAGTGCACGTTATTTGGACCGTATTTTGATGCCCTTGTCGCATTCCTGCAATCCGACTACACTGGAAATGTTGTTGTGCTTGCTCAGTATCAAAAATTGAAATTGTATAATGGAAAAGTCCAACTTAAAAATGCAACAAACTGTACCAAGCTTTTGTTTAACCCTGAAATTCCTGAGGCGGATAGTTTGGAGCTCTGGGGTAACATTGGATCACCTATACAATTGTTCAATTATATGAAGGATGCTTCTGAGTTGAGACTAGAAGAAGAATTTTTGAGCTTGATTCAACACAAAACTATTAAGGAACTGGAGGATTGTCAAGATGTATTATTTAAATCTAAATTCATACAAATTTTACATAAGATGGATTGTATATTTTTTATTTTGTTAAATTAACATTATTCTTGTTTTTATGTGTGCAAAATATTGTCTATATTGTGTTAGGGACAATCAAACATGTTATTGGTGGTAACGATTGGCGGTATGCTGCATGTGTCTGCAACAAGGGTGTTGTTGCAGATTCCAAAAGGATTTTCTGCCCTAAGTGCAACAAACATGTTTGGACAATTGTGCCAAGGTATTTCATTACTAATTATGTTAGTGTTCAGAAATGTTTGTTAACAAATGTTTTTACTTTCTTAAAGATTATTGGTTATTGATTATTGATTACATATATAGGTAACATATCAAACTCATGGTGATTGATAAAACTGATTCTACTACTTTCGTTGTTTTTGATCGAGATTACTATCTGCTAACAAAGAAAATATGTTCTGATTTGTTAGAGGAAATAGATCGTGTGAGTGTTTCTGAATTACACATATCTATAACATTTTTAGGTTAAATTACACGTTTTTATCTAATACTTTCTGTTTGTAACATTTCAGATTTTAGAATGTTAAGCCAACCCTTTTGCCAATAGTTATTGGTGAATTGTTTGAACAAACTATGTTATTTAAGATAGTTGTGAACAATGATGTAAACTCTGGGTTTGAACAGTCATTTTGTGTCAAAAAATTGTGTCCTGACCAAAATATCGTGTCTAAATTCAAAAATGTTATTCAAGTAATATATATTTCCGTGCATAATTTCATTTTGTTGTAGTTGAACTTCATTCTATCTTCGTATATTGTTTATTAATATCAATTTTTGTTTAATTTAGAACTCTGGTGGTGTTGAAGATGATTTGGCTTCTGGTGTTGTTCATAATGACATAAATGCAGGTGTAGTTTAGGCTTTGGATATCAAGTTTGAGAACATCGTTGCTGAGGAGAAATGTGGAGATAATGGTTTGGAGTCCAAACATATTGAAGACAATGTTTCTGAAAGCACTCCTGTTAAAAGGGGCATAAATAAATTTGCTGATGAGAATGACGGAGCCAACTCAAGAATAAAAAAAACATTAAGATTGAGAATGAATGATTGGGATATTTCATTTTTTAATATTATGTTTTCTTTTATGATTGGATATTGCTATCAATATGTAATGCATGTTTCAATATCCTGGATGATTTCTATGTTAGATTTTGGGGGCAGATGTTTAGCCCAAATTTTCATATTTAAATTTGGTATATGTTTCCATTGTTGTTGTTGTTAGTTATTTTATTTGGTTTCCTTTTGGTATTGTGTAACGGTATTCTGTTGCCGTGTTTGTTTTGTTCATCCAATTTGGAAAAACACAAATATGTTAACTTTTATTAATAAAAAATGTGTTACTCCTATTAGGTTCACTTTATATCTACTTATGTTATTCTTTTTTAAGTTGTCTGTTTAGGAGTAATCGTTTAAAAAGGTTAATGCCAGTTGTGCATCGAATTTGAGGAAACAACGTAACTAATGATAAGACATTGAAGGTATGTAATACACTACCACTTATGCTTAACTTTTTGGTTTTTGTGTCTTAAATGTATTTTTGCAATGTTTTTCCAAGTTAGAGGATGATTGATCGAGCAGTGACCAATTGTGAAGGTTGCATAGACAAAAGACACAAATATTAGGTCTTAGTTTTAGTCATTATGTAAATGTTTGCAGAAGTGTAAAATTGCTAATTAGTGACTGAATTTGGTTGTACATTATTTTTTATCCAATAATAATTAATTTGTTTTACATTACTTAACCAATAAAACAATTCCTCAATATTCTTGAGAGTTGTTTTTGCATTAATTATTCAATCATTCATTTGTTGTACCATTAAAGACTTACGAACTTTTTTAAGAACATGTTGCAATTAAAATATTTAACAGTTCCAATGTCATACTCCAACATCAGCTAAAAACTTTTGAAATTCTATCACTCACACATTAACATAATATATATATATATATATATATATATATATATATATATATATATATATATATATATATATATATATATATATATATATATATATATATATATATATATATATATATATATATATATATATATATATATATATATATATATATGTCCCGACACCTTCTTACACATCTATTTCATGACTCACTAAAGTTGTACATGAAGTAATATATATCGCTGGCTATGGATGGAAATGGCTCCTCAAATGCCAGATATCAGAGGAAGATGATATTGCGAAGCAAGACATCTAAACATAGTATGAAAGTCACAGGTTTGTAAAAACTATAAATTTATATTAATAAATATTAATAATCATGATAACAGTGTTACTATATCATATGAAGTTTAAATTTATGCTCTTTATATGTTAGACGAGAATGTTACACCTCTTATGCATACATCTAGACTTGGAGGTTTATCTTGTATATAATATCTTGCTCAGAGAACTACATTGTCGACGTTAATAATAATAATTAATTCTCCATATCCCTTTTTTATTCCAGATATTTGATTATAATGTTGTCCATTTATGATATAGAAATTTATCTATTCGTAATTTTTAATTGGAAATATGTTGCAGTTTCCAAGGAAACAACTGGTGCAAATTCCATTGAAAGTAATGCTATTGACAATTATGGATGTAGCTTTTTAACCAAACGTAAGCAACCTCCAGGTTCTAATTCGTACACACCTCTTTTAGAAATAATAAATCCAATTTCATACAACTTTCAAAATGTGTACGTCAACCTTCCCGTGTTCTTGAGTCGATACCTTCCTTCACCTTCAGCTTTCCTAGAACTGAAGATTCAAATGTCGAGCCTGTTAACGTTGCATGTATGTTGTTTCTTTAACAAATACGTTAATTTTATGCACTATTGTTTGGAAGTTATTAATGGATGTTAATTTTCCACAACAAGTACAATTGTAAATGAGCCAGCAGAAGTCCTTCGTTATGACAAATATGAGGAGGTTATATCTGAAGGTGAGCACACATAGAAAATCCATTATGATATCTTTTCACAAATAACATTGTTGTCCTAAAATTATGCAGCATCTACATCTGTGTTTGTTTGTTTCATCAGCAATTCTAGATTTTGGAGAACCATCATATAATTGTTCTTATTATGGTGCCCAAATATGGTATGAGGAGCGGTCCGATAAAAGTGACAACACAACCTTAAATGTTAAGTTTTTCCTTTGATGTATGAAAGGAGTAGTTGACCTTCCATATGAAAATCGGCCTCCAGAACTGCTACTTAACCTAATGAATGGCCAAGACTCTAGAAGTAAATTTACAAAGATACCATTCGATCATATAATAGTATGTTCTGTTTTACCTCCATGGGTGGTAACATCTAGTCAAACTCTCGCGGTGTTCCTCCCCAATTTATTCTTGGTGGACAAAGTTTTCACAGAATTGGCATCTTGATTTCAAAAGAAGGAGTAGTTCCCAAATTTGCACAGCTCTATATTCATGACATGACAAATGAGATAAATAATAGCTTTTACCCATTTCATGTATCTTCTTTGCTTTTTGTTCATTGTTTTTTATATTATGTACATGACTCACATTTGTTTTTGTTATCCAATTTCAACAACAGGAAAAAGTGCTCTGAAAAAACATTAGTTGAAGACATGACATAGATGATTGATGAACACAATGTCTTAGCTAGATCTTTTAGAAAAGTTCGCGACCACATACAACACGACAACACATCCAATTTTCGTTTGAGATTGCTTAGGAATAGAATAAAAGACCCAAGAGCACATAATCTTCCCTCATGTTCCGAGGTTGCTGCATTAATTGTAGGTGATCTTGACAACCTTGAACCAGGTCGAGACATTATTGTTAGGAAGACGTTTGGACACTTGGAAAAAAATCAAAGATACTCATGTTTCATTCATACCACTTTAGTATTTGTTGTTGTTTCTGTACAGTGAAGACCAATATATTGCAAATATTCCTTACAGAGAGTCTGTTATCAAAGAAGGAATTAGGAAGCAGCTGCGAGTTACATTTAGAGACTTTATCTCTTTTCGCATTAAGGAAAGAGCTTTCGAACATGGAACATTGTTAATGTTGGCATGTTATTTCAACAGTTTGTTGTCGACAGTTTCTCGATAATTGAGTCACAGAGGTTAAATTGGCTACACAAGAACCAGTCATCAATTAGATGTGATATCTTAAGTGGATTACAGGAAGTTGTCCTTAGCGGAGAAATTTATCCGTTTGTAGTAGGAAAGCGTATTGTACTACCTGCATCTTTTACTGGAGGTCCAAGAAACATGTTTAACAACTGTCAAGATGCAATGGCAATTTGCAAAAAAATTGGTTATCCTGATTTGTTCATCACCATCACGTGTAATGTTAATTGGCCAGAAATCAAAACTTTGTTAATGTGCGAGGCCTTACACCAAGTGATCGTCCGGACATTGTTTGCAGAGTCTTTAAGGGAAAGCTTGATGAAATGATGAATGATTTTAAAAAGGAAAAAATATTCGGGAATGTTGTTGCAGGTAATGGAACAAATTATTTGGAGTGTTATTGACTATTTAAATATATAACTATACCTATTTTTAAATAAATTGTTGTTGTTGCTCAGGGACGTACACCATATAGTTTTAGAAGAGGGTTCTTCCACACACACACATTTTGTTATGGCTCGATGTATCAAATTTGTTAAAAACTGATGCTAACATAGATAAATTCATATCTGCAGAACTACCTGATGATAATCTCTATCCTAAGCTTGCAAGTGTTGTTTCAAGTTTTATGTTGCACGGACCCTGCGAAAAGGCCAATATAAATTCCCCATGCATGAAAGAAGGAAAATGCTCAAAATATTTCCCAAAGGATTACCAAAGTTACACCATAGTAAACGATGATGGATATCCAAAGTATATGCATCGATATTCTGGTCTGTCTGTTTAGAAAAAGGGAATAAGTTTGGACAATATGTATGTAGTTCCTTATAATCCCTAATTTTTAGTAAGATATCAGGAACATATAAATGTTGAGTATTTCAACAAGGTAAATGCCATCAATCATTTGTTTAAATATGTTAATAAAGGCCATGATAAAGCGACAATTGAGATTTCAAACAGATCTGAAGACGAACTAGTTTTGGATGAAATAAAACAATACTATGAATGTCATTATTTGGCATCGTGTGAGGCTGTTTGGAGAATTTTTGGGGATGAGGGGTACATATTTACGAACGGGGGTTGCAAATAAAATCCCATGTTACTATTACAACCACATTGAATGGATAAGAATGTACAAGAAATGTAAAATGCTTATTTTATTTAAGAAAAGAAATAAGTTTTGTTTAAGAAAATATTTTTTTGGTCTTTTTGTGTTGAAAGGAATAAAATATAATATGTGAACATAAAATATTTTTGGTGTTTTATTTTGATTAATGAAAAATAAAAGTGATGGTAAAAAAATAACAAAGAGAAGAAAGACAGAATCAGCGCAAATGCTGAAAAGAAGAGGTCAGAAGTTTTGACTCTGGCATGCTGCACAAACAGAAACAACGTTAATAGAAATAGGGAAAGTCAGAATTTTTGGATCCGTTGAGAACAAAGAAGTTTTCAGAAGTTCTGATGCCACAGACAGAACTTCGCCTCCCTCTCCATGCTAGTCAGAACATCTGCAACTTAGTCATTTCTCCACAAAACAGAAAATATGCATATAACAGTTTATGGCAGGTTTCATAATGCTTCAGAAACAAGAGATATCAAAATTACAAATCAGAAGCAAGCATGAGTTTGCTAATCCTAATTCTGAGTTCTAATTACTTCAAGAAGCTCTGAACTGGAATTCTCTCTACTTAGGCAGGCAAATGCATGGAATCTCAGAATATGTACATCATCAGAATCAGAATGTCTACATTGTATTTTTGAACGTGCAAATATGACAATGCCTAAGTAATATGATGAGAGTCAGCAGAAGCTTACCTTGCAGCTGGAAAATACTATGTGAGTTGGAACCTGGTTCTGACCACTTGTGATGTTCTGAACAGCCTCCTCACGTGTTCAGCAGGCTGGAAACTTTCAACTTGGGGTGTAAATGATTAGAA